ACTATGAACAACAACCTACCCTTGCATCCCGTGATTAGCAGTGTCCTCACCTCAATTTGCATACATTAAACGTGATTTACAATTGGATGCATGATTGGTGTGTGCTTCATATTTTGAGGTGTTAAGCGATTTGTTGTCAGATCATAACACCGTCAGCTGTCGATTTGTTAAGTGACAATCGTAAACGATCGATATTAAATTCACAACACTCCCTTTTAACCGAAGGCATAGCCAACAACAGATTATTACAAACTGACCCAAAATGCCATTTATGGCAACTGATGCATGTCGCTTGATTGTTATGACCCCCCGATGACCCCAAAGAGGCCCCGGTCCCCTCATTCTTTCAGGTTGTTCTAATCCCCTAATCATCTTCTGCGTAGGGCTGTCGTCTCTGGCTCTGGCTAAGAAACATGATGTCACCGTGTGTGCAGCCGATACATGAAAATAAACATCCACTGAAAGAGCCACAAAGCGGGATGCCATTCCTCTGCTGCAGCGTGGACAGGAGCGCAAGGTCAAATAACTAACCATCTACTGGCAGAATTAGCTAGTTGTGTTTTGAACAGTTTTGTGTTTTCGTGACCTCCAGTGATCTACAGCGAGAAACAGCAGCTACATTTTCTGGGAGGATCTTTTAAAACTCGCTGACCAAAAAAAGAACCGGCGCCTTCACATCAGACCCCGGAGAACGAGGACGGCACGGTGTGCAGGACGTCCCGGGGGCTGCCTGACGCCAGTCTGACCCACTTCCTCGCCGGAGTCTCCAAGAATGGTGCCGGGCCCTTTATCCGGCCGAGCTCACGGGAGAATTTGCAGAAGCACGATTTGAATGTGTAAGGAGAGACGCGGCAGTAGATGGCGAGAGCCGATGCGACGCCGTGTGACGTCCTGCTTCTCCTTCCTTCTAGTCACGGAGGGGGTGGGGTTTCTGTAAAAGGCAAGTCACCTGGCAGGTCACGGCGGCCATGATGCCAGCCCGCATATTCCAGCGGGGCTCCATTTTGAGGCCCTTATGGGAGGCGCTATTGCGCCATCAATCCATGCGGCGACGCTGCGGCGCATAGCTCAGGGCTGAGTCATCCGGGGCTTATGTCACTGTAACCCCCCCTCATTGGTCTCACACAGAAGGAAGCATGTCTGGATGCTGTACACTTTCATCACCTCCCAGGCATATCCCCCCCCCCCCCCCCCCCCCCCCCTCCCCCCA